TGACCTTTTTCCTCTCTCTAGCTGCCTTTAACACTCTGTCCTTGTCCTTGATCTTTGCCATTTTAATTATTATGTGTCTTGGTGTTATCCTCCTTGGGTCCCTTCTGTTGGGAGTTCTGTGTACTTCCGTGGCCTGAGCGATTATTTCCTCCCCCAGTTTGAGGAAGTTTTCAGCAATTATTTCTTCAAAGACACTTTCTAACCCTTTTTCTCTCTCTTCTTCTTGTGGTACCCCTATAATGCAGATATTTTTCCTTTTGGATTGGTCACACAGTTCTCTTAATATTATTTCAGTCCTGGAGATCCTTTTATCTCTCTCTGCATCAGCTTCTATGCGTTCCTGTTCTCTGATTTCTATTCCATCAGTGACTTCTTGTATCTCATCCATTCTGCTTTTTAATCCTTCCAGAGATTGTTTTATTTCTGTAGTCTCCCTCCGTACTTTGTCTGTTAGCTCTTGCAGTTTTCTCTGTAGCTCCATCTGCATGGTTATGACCTTTATTTTGTATTCTTTTTCTGGAAGATTGGTTAGGTCTGTCTCTCCAAGCTCCTTCTCAGAGGTTGTGTCTGTGATTTTGGTCTGGATCAAATTCTTCTTCCTTTTCATGGTTATAGAGGTAGTTGTGGGGAGCTGGTGCATTTGTTGACTGGTAAATCATCCCTTCTTGCTAGTTTATGACCTTCCTCTCCTGGGAGAACAGCAACCCCTATCAGCTTCTGCTGGGCAGCTGCGCTCAGACGGGCTTCTGATTCATGCCCGGCCGCTGTGAAAGAAGCTCTGCCCTGCTGCTGTGGGCGTGGCCCACCTCAGGCTGCTATTTTTTTTTTTTTTTACAAACCAAAAGACTTTATTCCTTATCTAAACCAACACATAAAAAATCCTCAGTAATAAACAAACCACATGACCTTAGTCAAGCCTCTCAATGAGGTCCAAGCAAGGAGACAGAGACACACAAGGAGAGGGAGAGGCCACAGTGTGGCTCAAGGCCATGGCATGGCTAGAGGAAACCCACAAGGCCTGGGGAGGGGCTGGTATGGCAGCCGGAGAGGGGGGCGGACTTGTGAGGCATGCCCTGGCCCTGGCCCTGGCGGTGGGGGTCAGGCAGGGATCCAGCTGCTTCTCGGCCTGGGCTATTCAGCGGGTGAAGTGGCTGCAATCTCTGGTGAGCTGCTCCCAGGGACCCTGGCAGGCTGCCCGGGCCGGACCTGCTCAGACAGCCAGGAAATGGATGGAGCCCTTCTCTAAGAATTGCACCTTTCTGGCCCTTAAGGGAGTCTCAGGGCCTGGATTCTGGGTGGGGATTTCTTCAGACTTGAGCTGCCTTTGCAGTTGGAGGGACAGCCGAGGAGGAGCCCAGGGAGGTGGTGGCTTCTCCCCAGGAAAATAGATGGCCACGTGGAAGGGACATGGCTCGGCTTCTCCCAACTCAGCAGCTTGCCCTCCCTCTATAATTAAGTATTAAGTTAAGTATGTGACATAGGAATTCAGAGAGGAAGAAGTCTGAAACAAATAGAAACAATAGGCTGGAGAAACAGTTTTTTTCAGAGAAAAGGAAGTCTATAATAAATACAAACTGTAGATGAAATCTGTAATAAATACAAACAGAAAGCTGTGCAGTATTAGTGGGAGGAGTATGGGAAGGAGGATGAAAACAACTTGAGCAGAGAATGAAATGAGTGTGGTGTGGTGTGGTGTTTTTGATATGGGGAAGTCAGCCATGCTTTAGAGCAGAAGCCAATTTTGGTGAATGGTTGTGAAACAGGTCTACTTGTAAAAGGCCTTGAAACTCCAAGTAGGCTCTACATTAATTACTTGTGACTTCTGACTCCAAATTAATTTAACGTACACTTATTGACATTGACCCAGACCACTGTTTGAGTCTCACTATGCTCCTCTCATACCCCCTGGTTATGGCCACAATAAACTTTTAACAATTTCCTGAACATGGTCATTTTTTTCGCCATACTATACTTAATGTCTCAGCATCATTTGGCATAATTGCTCATGCCCTCCTAATTGAAACAGTTTTTTTGACTCCCTTTTGACAGACTTTGACTTTTTTCTTATCTCATCATTTCTCAATCTCCTTTACATTGACTCCTCATTAATTTGAAAAAATAATCTAATCTCAAATTATTGGAGCACCTTACGGCTCCATCTTGGCCTCACTCCTTTTCTCTAAATATCTGTTTTCCATGGGTGATTTCTTTTGGCCACAAAAAAAATCTAAATACTTTTTGTATGCTGTCACTCTCATGTTTTGAGCTCTCTTACTTGACCTTCAACTCTTACAGACAATTGTAAATGCAGAGCTATTCCTTAACTGTTTATAGGATTGAATTGAATGACCTTTTAGTATGCTAGTTGCCAAGGGAAATACTGTTGAAAAATTAGATATTTACCCTCAAAAAGCTTATAGTCTTGAATTTTGTATGCCTAATAGGTATCCTAAACTTAATATATCCAAAACTTCACTCCTCATTTCCCCACCTAGCCTGTTCATACTGCAGATCTCTTTATTAAATGCAGTTCTGTTCTTCCATTTGTTTAGTCCAAAAGCCTTGGGGTTACACTTTTCTTTCACACTACATTAGTAAGTTTATCTGTCTTCTACCTATAAAGTACATCTGAATCTGACAACTCTTAATCATCTCCACTTCTACCATCCTAGTCCAAGCCACCATTGCTTTGTGCCGAGACTAGCCTCCTGTGTGTTTTCCCTGCCTTCATTCTTTCCTCATTGGAGCCAGAGCAGCCAAAATGCCATATAAATGTATTTGTAAATACAAGTTGTATCTTAACCATTTCCCCTTGTAAAAACCTGATGGCTTTCCTTTGTAATTACTATAAATAATAAATTTTTTACTGTGGTTTACAAGGACCTACATGATCAGACTTTTGCTATCTTTTTCTTACTGAACCAGCCTCAACTTAAGTGTCACTTCCTCAGAGATGTTTTGCTCAACTATTCTGTTGAAAACAATTCCCTTCAACCTGTCCCTCTATTAACTTTTATTTTATAATCCTGTTTTATTTTCCTCATAGCATTTAGCATTCTCTAAAATTATTCATTTACTTGGTTATTGTTTGTCTAGAATGTAAATTTCATGAAAGAAGAGACTATTTTTCTTACCACTGTATCTCTAGCAAATAGAACAGTGTTATAAATATAGGTACGTGCTCAATAAATATATATTAATTGACTGAATGATCATGCTTTGTTCTTCCACATACTATTTCCTTGTCTAAAAAGTGCCACACATTTCTCTTCCCCAAATAAAACAAAAATTTCTTCTCTGTGATAAATTCTGAAGTTCTACTTATCCTTCATATTTCAACCTTTATTTTTCTTTTTCTCTGAAGCTTTTCTTTAACCCTTTTCCTCTCACTGAGGCAGAGCTAAGCACTTCCTTCTCTGTTTTCATTGTACTTTTTTTTTTCGATTTCTCTACTGTCCCTATTAACTTATACAATGACTGTTTATCTGTCTACCCTTATTAAATTGTAAAGCTCTTTATGGGTAGAAACTACATATTATTTGGGTTGGTTTCCTAAGCACCCGGAATAGTGCAAGGCATTGCATTAACGTTGACAAATAGATGAATCAAAATCAAAATCTTAATTCCCATAGTTTTCTAGAAGACAACATTGCAGTGTGAGGTGTAAAGATGAATATATCTCTTTCCTTCTGGAAATTCACAGTTTACTTATTATTCAAATAATATTTATTTGTAGTGTGGCAGGCATTATGTTTAACAGCTAAGCATACAGTGACATAGGTTCCTGTCTAAAGAAGCTTTATTTTAGTGGGGCATCATTTCCTTTAATCCATAGTATTTCATGCTATATGTTGGTGTTTCCTGTAGTTAACCTGTGAACTCTATGGGAGATAATGGGGCAGACATTGTCTAACTGCCTAATACTAATCTTAAATTTCATGTATGTTTACCACATAGTTACACATTGGCAAAGGAGGAGTGATAAACTCCAGAACCATACAGCACACCCAAAATATTTTACTGATTCTGTAAGCATGGCATAATTACCTTGTGGCTGCAGTATAGATTATTCACACATAATGGGGATAAAATTTTATTTTTAATGCTGATAGTGCTTCTTAATATTGTCATAAACACATAGAACCATGACTTAAGTGTCTTAATTTTTGTGGCTAATTTAATTTACTCTTTATGGTTCTGACACATTTCTAATATTTTAGAACTTTGGCATAGAGTTTAGTGTTGATCTAAATTCTCCAGTTTCTGAATTCTATATATTGCTAAGTCCTAAGTGAAAACACAATTATTTTGAAGGAATTTAGGTATAGCAATTAAAGTTCTATAGATTTCAACATCTTCTGAATTTTGACTGAAGCCATATTTCTATTCTTATAGAACATTCATGAATATAAACAATACTTTTGTATTTCTGTTCTTCTAGAACATCAGTTTCACTTCGAATTGAACAGAGCTTTTGAGTATACATTTTAGTAACATATTTGGAATTCGATACAATTGATAAATCTGGTTCTCTAGGAGGAAATATATATGCAAACTAGCATATGACTTGTAGAAAATTCTTATGTATGCAGACTATTTAGACTGAAGTTTAAGAACACCTTGGTAGAGAAGGAGTTAACAGGTTAGCTCCCCTCGGTTGTTCTCAGCATGCTCTCTTACCTTTAGGAGCTGAAAAGATGATAACATTGGGCCCGGACATGCCTGTGTGGAGGTTATGGTACTCCTGGGGTTTTTGCAGCTCGGTGTAAAGCAAGCTAGAACTTGTTCATCTCAAGAGTTCCTTGTTTTTCTTTCAACCCTTTCAGTGCCCTGCAGGAGTCATTAAATCAAAACTTCATGCTGATCATCACCCACCGAGAAGTCCAGCGGGAGTACAACCTGAACTTCTCAGGAAGCAGTACCATTCAAGAGGTGAGTTATGTCTCACAGCTAAGGAATAAAGGTAGTTCATTATAGCTAATGTTGACCCTGTTAAAAAGGGCCTATCTGTTCTGGTTGGAAACTCGCTTTATGTTTCATTATTGGGTTCTTAATTTTAATTAACTGGAGCATCAATAATTACTGTAGATATGATGACTTGACCTAGAAAGATGGATGTTGTAAATGAGAGCTCTTGATAATTCTTAAAATAGTCAACTTAAAACCCTGTTTGAAAATAACTCATTATTATATATTATATTTCATGATTTTATAGTAATTATTCAAAACACTAATTTGGCAATTGTTGACAGCATGCATTTTGAACATGCTTATATTTTATTTGAAAGGTTGCTTTCAGATATATTATTTATAACGTGTACCTTGCCTTTTTCCAAAAGGAATTTGAGACAGCTTTTCTTAAGCAGATCAGTCCCAGCCTTGGGCAGTTTTCCTGAGATGGTATTGGAGACTGTCAGTCATTTAGCTCAGAATATCCAAGAAGAGTCTATTTATTGTGTCAATATTTTCTTCAGTGTGGCCAACCAGGGCCACTGTTTCAAAAAAGAACCTCCCCCAAGAGAGAAGTACTTTCTTGCCCATGGCCCCAACCACCTAAAAGCCAGTAATTTATCTCCATGGGGGTAAGATGTGTAAGGCTATGATAGCACTTGTGTTTAAAAGCATTGCAATGATGATTATGTCACATTACCCCTTATAAGTTGTCAAGACAGCAATAATTTATCTACTGATATTTTTATAAAGAGAATTAATTATGCTTAATCTTGGATTATTTCACAAATTTTTCTTAGACCACATTGACTATAATAATTAATGTCATATTGAAAGAACAAGTTGTTTTCACCCTAATCGTTTTTCAAAAGTATATGAATTGTTTCAGTAATAGCTAGACTATTAATGGTTTCCTTTTTTCATGTTATGTCAATGAATTTCAACTTGTGAATTTGACATAAATAACTGAATGCTTGAAGTTTATTTTCTGTTTATCACTTGAATAGTTTGTTGACTAGTAACTAAAATCTTTAAAAAATTTTGTGGCCTCTAATTTGACTCATATGTTTGAGATATTTAATTTCTTTCCAGGATTTTAAATATATTAAGGATTTTAAATATATTAACTGTCATTGCATTTTTAACCTCTATAATGGATATTTGTCTAAATTAAAGTTTTTAATTCCTTGAAATATTACCATTATTTTTACATTAGAAATAATGTTTATAACTATGGCTCAATTGCAGAGTTACTGTGGAAACTTAATGATAGTAAAATTTTAATTACTGAATAAAATTAAATACAGAAAATTTAGTTTCAAAATAATAACTCCATTCAAGAAAAGCAGAGGTAATGAGTCAATTCCATTATGTTGTTGACTTACTTTTTTAAATTGAAGACTAGTATAATGCATAATGGATAAAAATTGATTGCTTTATTTTTCTTTCTGATTGAGATTTTTATAGCTAATATTCTACCTTTTTGTTTTTCACATTTCCAGTTTCCATAGTTTGAGTGTATTTCAACTTCCTCCCAGAAGAGGGCAGAAAGGACTATTAAACTGATAGTCTAAAAATGCATTCAGTGTTTTCAAATTAGCTTCTCTTATATTAACAAAAAGGAGCATAATGGCCAAGTTATTGTTTGATTTACAGATAATTGGCATATTGCACGGAGGAGACTTAATTTCACCCTTTTAAATTAAACAGGGAGATTTAAAAAGACATAAAATATTCATTAATGTTCGGTGATTATAAAGTAGTGGCATATATTTATTTTGCCTTTATTACTGTTTCGATGGGAAAATACTGCAAATATTTCCGAAATCGAGTTGGCCATACTGACAAGTTGAAATGTTTAAGCAGCGTTAATGCAATCTGCTCACACCTGATATCCTATGCAGAATGATTCAAAATGACTACATCAATTATTAAAAGAAATATTTAAAATTCTGTAAATGTGCCATTGTGTGCCACAGTTGGCTGAAACTGTTCTCCATGGCTTGCTATGTAGATTATCAAATATATTTTAAGCTTCAAGGACTTGAAAACAGTAAATCTTTTTCATACTATTTTCCAAATGAAAAATGTCCCAGGAATGTTTTTGCAAAGACAGATATTCCTCTGTATTTCTTGGCAACGGTTTGGTTTCTTCTTTTTTTTCCTATCTCTTTTTTTTTTTTTCAGTTGATTTAAAACAATATTTTGAAATGCTACTTGCCAGGAAAAAATAAATGTTGTTTCTAATATCAGTTGCTTTTCTGTGAGTAGACAGATACACATAGGCTCTTTTATTCTGTACAGTTTAGAAAAGGGACATAGATTATACTCTGTAGGCCAAGTCCTATGACTCTTCTTCAACTTGTGGAATACCTGGGGGGGTTTCAGGAGGATGAGACGCTCTTATGCTACAGCCATGCAACCCACAGTGACAGTTAAGTATGTTCATTTTTTTTGTCGTGTGATTAAAAATCAGTTTGCAACACAGTAAAAATAAAATCTTGAAATAGTTTTGCAGTGTTATTTTATAAATGCTAGAATTTTTACTATCAATGTGGTAGCTTAATGATGCCATCTATCTTAAATTATAAATTAATTTCTGTCAGTTTCAGAAATTTCTTTTCAATGTTGCTTAATAGGTTAAAGAATGAATTCTAACCAACATATGAGAGAGAGAAAAAAACCTGATATTTTTTCCCTATAGTAGTATGTTATTTTTATTGTAGGTGAAGAAAAATACCAGTTTTGGGTATTTTTAATTTTTGAAAGCCTTGCATTTTTAAAAGAAAGCTTTTGTAATGTTTTTCTTCCAGAGTGAAATTTCTGTTAAATAGGGTTGAAAAAGACACTATGATTTCAACTTTTAATTAGATGAAATACACTTTTTAAAAATACTGAATTAGGAAATAGAACTTAGATGCAGTTTGAATTTCAAATAAACTGTTCAGTGACCATATGTTCATGCAACTTAGTGGTGATAAACCCATAGTTGTACAAGTGTTTGTTCATTCTGCCTCTGTGGTCTCCTGCTTCACAATGAATGACTTATGTCCTTTGGGTCTTCTAGATTTTAATTTAAGCTGGTTAGATTTTGAGAATTTTTTTTTAAGCTCTTTACAAATCCTTTCACTTACGTTATCCTCCTACTTGAGAAAAGGCAATGATAGTATACAAAGGTCAAAATAGAGAGTTGCAAGTAGTCATAAGAATAAAATCCTTTCTCTTTTACCATTATGACAAAATAGTGCATAAAAATTGTCAAATAACACTAATTTTGTCACAGCTTGTCTTTCTACCTTTTTGTGTCCCAAATTACTTGTCACACTTTAGTATATTTCCTTAAAAATTTGAACAAGCTTACCTATTTCAATGAATTTTCTACACTGAGAATTCAGGCTTATAAATAGTTAATTGTACAGATTCTAGGAATTCTAATACTGTAAAAGATCTGTGGTTGCATATATATGTGGGATTGGTTAAATTAAGGGAAAAAAGCTTGATTTGCCTACTTGCATATCCTAACCCCAGGTGTGGAAAAGGATATAAAGTCCCTGAAATCAAGCCAACTTTTCTTGGAAACTAATTCTTTTTGTCTCTCTTACTATTGCAAAAGCTATTAGGCAAAATATCCGCTTTTCTTTGTAGATGTCATACAAACTTAAGGAATACACACATGACCCAGAATAACAATGATAAGAAATCTTAGTATTTTTGTTGTGGATTCACGGAATATTACTTATCTATTACTTTGAGAATCACAATGAATAGCTATTGGTATTATGTAAATCCTCTTCCAAGTTTCACTTTACCCTAGAATTCTCACTCTTATTAATGCTTATTTTGTTCTTTATCAGAAAGAAAGGGGAAAATTTACAACCTATAAAGGTATATTTTGAATGGAATAGTAAAACATGTTGCTACTAATACTAGTGATTGTCAAGTAAGAAGCCACTAGTTTGAATTAGCATCAAGAAATAAACTAAAAAAAACACATAAATCATACCAATCCTTAAAAAGAATCTTAGCTAAGTAATTGTGAAATCATGAGGTTAATTCTGATTTGGTTAATTTGAAACTCATGTTGGTTTTTGTGTCTATTTTTCTACTTGAAACTTTCTCAACTTGTTTGACTGTGATGTATTTCGAACTAGCTTCCTTTAATGCTGGAGGTCATTAGTAGTAATTAAATATGTAGTCTTTTACAGATTGTTCTAATGAGCAATTTTCTGGTAGTGGGTTGACTATAACTTCTTAACTAACCATTTGTGTAAATGTTTTAAGTATAGTTGGATTTTGTTGATTTGTTTGTTTTTTAGTTGGTTTGTTTTCCATTATAGAGAAGGTGGGGGGTGCTGGCACAGAGCTTGAAGAGTAGGGTACCTGAGAATGTGCATATGCAAGGGATAAATTAAATTGTATTTATTTAATTAAAAGTTTTAAGTGGTTTATAGTCACTGCACAATAAGTGGCATATATAAGCTCAATTAGAATGGACCCACTTAATTAGCATATATCATAGATTTATTTTTAAAAATTTGAAATCACAAATGACATCTTAGCAAGAATGAAAGAGATATAATTTCTTAAGCAACTGGGCAGTGAATTCAAGCCTTTTATTCAGCCTTCAGAAAAGGAGATTATGAGTTTTTTTAAAATATGTACGTATATTACTAGTTGCAAGATTATTTTATAACTGAGATCTGTTGAAGTCATACCACTTCAAATGAACAAATCAGTAACGACCATTTTATAAATGTTGAGATTTTCTGCAATTCTTAACAAATTATCTCCTTAAGAAGTAAATTTAAATAATATTTACAATACTGCCATTTGGAACTGACAAGTCCTTTTCTTTCTCTGAAAGTATTTAGAATATTGGAAATTTTTTTTTTTAGCCCATCTATTTCTTCACCAACATTTCAAGAAGATAGAAATGGTGAAATTTCGTTAGGAATTAAGGACAATGCTTTAGTCCTTTCTTA